ATAATAATAGTCAGTATTGAGAAACTTGTCATTGTCAGAAGATTTGACCCTTAAAGTGGTTAAATACTCCAGCCACGGAAGAAAGGTTTTATAAGTACTGGACTTTTTAAAAGATCTGAAATTGAGAGTCAATAAATAGTTCAGTCAAGAAAGAAAGACTTTATATGAAAGCAGCTAAGTTCTACAATCCAGGCATGAAAGAATTGTCTCAAATGAAAATAGTCAGTACTTAACCCTAAGATACTGGACGTTTTCAAAAGATGTGACCTTCAAAGTCATTAAATACTCCAGCCGCGAAGGAAATATTTTATAAGAAAATTGTCAATACTTAGACAGGAATAAAATCATTTATTGTCGTATTTTATAAGTAGATAAGTCGAGTTACAAATAAATTAATACAATTAGACTTAAAAAAATAAGCAAATTATCACAATAAGGTATCAAGGCCTTGGTGAACTAAAAGATACATTTAGATCGATTTTCTATCTAAATTTTCGACGATTTTCCCTGTAAATGTATCTTCAAAGCCCTTTTTTAACTGAATTAATCGTTTTGATACTATCAGGGAGAGAGAATTGAAAATGTAAGTTCCCATGTGGTCTGGTTAAATCTTAGGTACTGAACGTTTTCAAAAGATGTGAACTTTAAAGGCAGGCATGAAAGAATTATTTTGTATCAATTTTATAAGAACGATTATTATAGAATATACTATTTTATGAGAATACTTCAGGTACAGTGGTAAGCCAATACTAAGATACTGTGTTACAGGACGTTTTGAAAAGATGTAAACTTCAAAGTCAATAAATACTTCAGTCCTAAGAAATAAATGAGAGAAATTTTGTACATGAAATTTTAGGAAATTCTGAGCCCTAACGTACTGGACGTTTCAAAAGATCTGAAATTGAGAGAAATTAAATACTCAAACTACTAAAGAAGAAATTAGTCAATAATGAAATACTTGCCGTTTTCTAAAATTGTAACCTTCGAAGTCAATATAAATTGAACCGAAGGGAAAAATATTTTTAAAAGAAATGTAAATAAAAGTATAGTAGAGTGCAAGTTTTCAAATGATGTAAACCAAACTTCAATAAATATAAATAAATATATAAGGAAAGAAAGAAACGCTTTAATATCAAATTCATAATGCAAGATTTTCCGACTGTCAAATTTATTATGTCAATAAATAGTAGATCGATCGTTCTTTGTTACTTTTATTTGTTATTTAGAACTACAAAGATTGTATTAAGTCAATATTTTCTAATCCTAAATGTATTTTTTGAGTCACTTGTAGTTAATAAGATAATGTAAATTGACAAAAATAAGAACGATTTTATGAAGAAAGTACGCCGAACTAAATTAATTGTATAAAAGTATAGGTTGGAGAAAAATTCGTCTCTGTTTTATGCTGTTTTCTCATATTTTGATCTACGCTTTGAAACGTATAAGAAGTTAATTTTCCAATTAAATATAATTTATAAAATGAAGATTGACGTAATGAATAAAATTTAATTTCCAATATAGTGGTTATTGTCCGCTGAAAAAAATTGTATTTTAAGATTCTTTTGTACATCGTTATAGTGTATTATAAGTAGTTATAATATTTTTTCTGATTTAAAGATTTGCTTTAATGTCTTGAACTTGTTGGTTGCTAGCGATTTCATTTTTAGTTTTAGTAAGTAAAATTTTAAATTCCTATCTCTTTTTATGTACAAATTTTTTGTTGAAAAGTCATACAGAACTTTCTCAAACGAGACGATTTTCTCACGGATCCACCGTCTGACGGGACCGGTCTGCAGGGCCGGTTGGGATTCCTCTCGACGGGCCTGGAGGCATCAAAGATGGCAACTGCCGTCTCCATGGCGACCGATTCATAAATCAGGCGGCCCAAGATGGCAGCCCACCACCATTTCCCCCTCCAGGAGGGCTCAGTCAGAACGTAGTTCAGCAGTTTTCCGGCAAGGTGCGCTCTGTGCCGGCGACCCTCTCTCTATCGATTTTCTTTACTTCAACCACTTTCGAATTCTCCCGCCACACGATTTTATTTCATTTCCAATGTTCTCCCGCACAACAAAAACTAATTTATTAAAAAAATTAAACCAGATAAAAAAGTAATAAATGATGTGGTTAATATTTGTTTAATAATGTTGTTCTATGCTCACCACTCTAAACCAGTTTATAAAACATGAAAATAACAAATCATTAATCGTTCGCTTTGTTGACAAATTTTCCACTGTGAGCTTTTAGTTTGGTCGTTTCCGATCAATTTCATACTCCTTTTTCTTATATATAATACGTTATTATATGTCGCTATCCCAATTGTTAATAACCTGTTTCAATGTTCATTTTTCACTACTTGCTTCAGTAACTTTGGTGTAGAACGTTATTAATTTAGTTATGGATATGGCTATTGAAGATAAATTTTGAATTTTAGATAGCCAAATGAACACTGGACTATGAGATCTCATATTCATTTTTTAAAATTATTTTAACTTAATTTTGCGGTAAAAAAACATTTTAAACGTAGATTTTTTTTAACTCAACACACCAATTTATTTTTATGCAATATATTTAGGTTGCTAATGCATTTTGGGCCCCGTCTCTCTTCCCTCTGCAGAGCTCACTATTTTGTTATCGAACTTCAATTTCAGGTAAGTGGCCCGAAATGCATTAGCAACTGAAATAAATTGCATAAAAATAAATTGGCGTTAGTTAAAAAAAAAACTTACATTCTAGATCACATATTGTTTTCTATTATATGTTTTCATAACAACTTGTTGTCCTTGTGTTTCTTTATCCAAATCTAATTTGACTACACCTATAGTTTGGTCGTTTATCACATACGTTTCAGCATCATGCCATCTTCAGGATGCGTCAGCTTCATGGTGTACTAGGATCTCGACTGAGGAATATACCATAAAAACTACATGTTGATCGCCCGGAAGAGCTGCAGAGGAAAACACACAATTATGTACATGTTAGATTTTTTTTAGGTCTGCAGGGACATATTTTGGTCGATATTTTGCATCTTTAACGACTAAACTTTGACTATTGGATCATAAAACTAGATGCAGAAGTTGTGCCAAACCTTGAGTCGTTACAACAGACCCGAAGGCGAGTGACAACAAGCAGACACCCACAGAAGGTGGCAAAATGCCGATCAAAACACAAAACTAGCGGTTGTAAAACGACCGGGTGATTTGAGACGATCGCTCTACTCATAAATTATTACATGAAACTTGAACTCTATCAGTCTTTACAACAGGGTGTAAGGTCAGGGTAAGAGCGGAATAGAACACGATATAAAACATGCTGATATTCAGTTATATTGCCACGATAGTGGTTTTGGGTTCAAATCTCGGGATAGGCTACGGCTTTTTTTATTGATAATAATATAAATTCACTATTATAAAGTTTAGACCCCTCGCCCGCGACACCCAAGTACCCGTTAGCTTCCTTTTTTTTGTATTATATATTAGCATAATAAAGTTGGTAAAAAAATAAACTAATATTGGTAATGAAGCCGACTCCTTTTAACCTTTATCTTTACATATTGGTTGTTGCCCTTACTAAAAACATTACCCAATCCTAGAGGAAAAAATCAGTCAAAAATAAGAATTTTTGTATTTACAATTTTCTGTTCAGTCCTGACCAAAAAATTTCGTTGTATAAATTAAATTTATATTCTATCGCTATTGGGAGGACCCAAGGATGAGACTCAGAGCAATCTGGTTCACAGGAAAATCACATAGCTCGTTCTGTAGAACGTACCGTTCTCACAATAACTAACACGTCGTCCGCCAGGTTTCGCCCTTTTGTAATCGAACTCTTCTCGTTGCTATCAGTTCGTTTGATTTAAAAAGACATCTGATCCCAAATAAAACCGACTGCTTATAATTTTGGCAGCACTTGAAGATGAAGAACAATCTGACATGTTTTTAAAAAGCTATTATTAAAAAGGTTTCAAATTGAAATTGTAAATGTTTTGTTTGTTTAGGTTCTATTGTTGTATGTTAATATATATTTAGATGGTTAGTAGAAAATGAACCTCATTGCACTGTGGTAGAAGTATTTATTTTCATTAGGCTGTTTAGTGCTGATTAGCCCATCAACAAAAGCCCCAATATATCATATGTAGCCTCGGTACAACGGCAATCTGACATAAACTCCAAATGATGTTCATATTCCTTTATCGTTAATTTTTGTATTTAATTGTTTCATTGTCATTTACCAATATTGGTAAAGAAGCCTTTTAACCTTTATCTTTTACATGTTTGTTGTTACCTTCAATAAAAACCCTCTACAATCTTTCCCAACTATGTAAGTGAAGTACTGAAAGTCCAAAATAAAAGAAAATTTGTTTGATCAATTTAAAATGCACCAACTGCAAATTTTAGAAAATTTCCCTTGAACATTACGCTTAGTTATATCTCATTTTTAAAAATTAATTATGTTCTTTTTTATGCGGCATCTGAAACAAATTACTAGTTTGATTGAATGAGATTACAGGATATTACTGTAATGTCTTACTATGACGGCGAATAAATTAATCAAATGAAATATTTGTAAACTTTTGTCATGTCGTATACTAAAAACGTCTAGCTTAACGTAATCTATCAATAGAAATATTTCAGCAGTTGGATTTACTTAAATTTAAATTTTATCTGTTTCTAGATTTTTATTTATTGATTAAAAACATATTTTTATTAAGAACAATTAGGAAAAGAATTTACCAATTTTTAAATTTATTTCTGTGATGTTCATAAAGTGATGCTTAGTTATTTTCTCTTTCAAGCTGTTGAATCTTTTTCTTCCATTCAGACTTTCCCACAAAGTTAAAAATAGGACTGCCTTAAAATACACGCAAAAAAGGAAGATATGAGGTAATAATAGAAAGACGTGTTAGAAGATGATTGATTTATTGCAGTGTTACGTCAGGCTTTTCTCTATGATCAGCTATGTTCATTTATGTTTGTTTTTAGAATTGTTGGATCTTGTTGCAGATGTGAGTGGAACCCGAAGGATTTTCAACTTGGGCTAATACAACTAAAGGGTTTTTAAGGAGCCACCATTGTTGTAATCGGAAAACGGCCTTTAAAAAAACTTTTCGCCCATCGAAGAAGAAAAAAGGAATACGCATCCTGCACGGCAGAAAAAAAAGATAAGACGGAATGTTTCAAATTCTCCCGAAGGCGGACAGGCATTCCGGTGCGGGACAGGTTTATGCTCCAGTGTCAACAATGTTCAACGCTTTTAAGGATTCGAGCCATTTGAATGCGCCCCGGATGGACGACATCTTTGTGACGCTATTAAATAGCCAGTTTTATAATAGGGATAAAATAATAAATAAACGACTAAGGAAGGGAAAATGGAAAAAGAATGGCGTAAAACCTCAGTTTGACGGGTGGTTTGAAGGGTTCTTTTCTCTTATTCTTCTGGTTTGCGTTTTACGAACGTGTACTCTTCCTCATATGCCATACCAATCATAAAAATCAACTACTCAACTAAAGATATAACCGTAAATGTAAACTGATTTCCATCAAATTCTACGCTAAAAAATAATTAAAAATACTTCTACTTGCCTGAACAATTATTTTTTTATTACAAAATTGCACTTATCTATTTACATACCTACTATGTTTGAAAACATTCATGTTTTTTAATAAATGAATGCTTACTCTTATGTAACTGTTACGCCAAGTTAATAATAACAAATAAGCAAAAGTTTATTGAGTGGAGAACCTATCCACGGGTAGCGTTCCATAAGTGGACAGGTACAAGTTTGATCGTGAGATTTCTTCCTACTGTTCGCGGGGTGATGAACCATTAATTTGCTCGATCTATGCTCGCAACTAATAAAAAAGAGGCTTCACTTCATAGAAATCACACAGACTCACTGAGATGGCGAAATACCGAACAACGCCTGACAGACTCACCAGCGAGGATAAGCAGACCAAGATGATAAGTAAGGATCAGATTGATAATGGTTTGATTTATAGGAATTTTATGTTTCAGTTGTATAGATGATTCGCTATTAAAAGATATAATTTTGTGTTGATGTGAGTGACTTTTTAGTGGCACACCTGAATAACATGTTATTGCTTTGAATTATTACTATTAGTTATCGTCAATCGAAAGTCTTCTAATCATCCTATAAAACTATGTCTGCGACAGTGATCCTCACATGTGAGTTTGATGTAGACGACGGTATGAAGTTAGGTTGTCTACCTATTACGAACATCTTTGTATTTTAATTTTAATCTGTAGCAAGCAATTTTTCATTTAACAAAATGCTGACATCAACATGAATTAAATCTCCCTCATGCTTAATACTTTGACTTTTCCATGGTAAACCTTTTTCAAGAGGTTTGATTTACCATACTCATCGAAGAAAGAATATTCTGATCCTCCGACGCATTACCATTCGATAGCTTATTAAATGAAACAGTTTTTGTGAAATTTTATCATCTCTAAGCAATTTCGTTACAGCGTAGTTCACTAATAAAAGTCATTTTTGAAATCACTGAAAAATCTTACAGTGTTTACATTATAGAGGTTTGGGTCAGAAAAACGGCTATCTATTAGAATGACAGTGATATGCAGATGGCTCATTCTTTAGACAGTTTAACATAGACTTGAAAAACGACCTCAATTTTGATGACAAAGATAATGGAGATAATTTTTTTATGTGTGAGAAATCCTTTGTTTCGGTATGAAACATGTGATAAAAGTAATACAAGAGATGAAGCAAGCTGTGTTCCATTCCAAACTAACATAATAGATTATTGCCACAGATTTAACAACAAAATTACTGCCGAAAAGCAAGTAAAATAACGAAGATAAGGATGTTAACAGAAGATTACATTTTGACAAGCAACAACATTCTGCAGACTTTCCGAAATAAATAAAATAAAAAAGTATATGTTCGCTTCTTCCTTTTCCTTTGATTTTTTTCTTTTTATGTCCAAGGTTGGAGCTATAATGATGAAATCATAAAAAAATATACACTCACCTAGACCAGCTTTGCGATTTATTTCTTACTTTTGCCTACCCCTTTCGACCTGTTCCCCATGTCCTTCTACAGGGCTTTTAGAAGCTAGAATCATATCCAGCCATTCTCTGAAGTAAGCTTCTTGCACCAAAAAATCCTGAAGAGGGACGTTTAAAACATTTTTCATTGAAATTTTGGTCATTTTTAAAATCTACGTTAAATTTTCTAAAGATTGATCATCTACTGAACCCTTTCAGTCCAATTGGTATTTCGCTTCTCTAGCAAAAACCTAGAAAATTTAAACACAACAAATTTAAAGAATTAAAAAAAATCACTACGCTGTGACGTAACCTCCTAGACGTTGGCAAATTTCACTTTAAACTGCTTCCTTTAATGGGCAATCTAATGATATGTTTAACCCTGCAGATACTTATTTTTTCTTGGACATATGGTTGAGTTTTATGATTTATTTCCTGAAAATGTCTTCCTGATCAAAATAATGCTATGCTTTGAATCATGTATTTCAGATGTAGACAGTTTGAAATTTCTGATTGTTTAATATCACGGTCTGTCATATTTATGTTGTTATTTCAGTTTGAAACTGAATCAAGTAGCAAGGTTGTTTATAGAAGATGAAATTTAGATAATATACATAATTTAATAAATACATAGAATATACAACATATCCACAAATATTTTATTTTATTAATTAATAAGGTAAATGTGCAATTTTGATTGGACAAGGATTTAAAAAAAGGCCAAAATGAAGCTTTGGAAAGCATAGGCCATACGGTATATTTCTTATGTTGATATGATTGACTGTATCTATTGAGAATCAATAAATCCTGTATTGAGTCAGTAAATAGATATCATTTAATAAAAATGTTTTCAATTATTTTTCATCTGTTAAAAAATTATATTGTTTTATTATTTTAATTTACAATAATTTCATTCCTCATTTTATTAATTGAGTATTTTTTAGATATTTTTTCTCCCGTTTATATTTTCCCCCCTCGAGATTAACTACAGTCAAATTTGGGTTGAATGCGCGTACAAAATTCTGATCAGGCTTTAGTAAAGCCGGTAAGATTGTCTAAGGTAAAATTTTTCTCTGAGAGGTTGATCTCTTATCAAATGTTTTTCCCGGTAAGAAAAATTCTTAAAGTCCCCTCAGTTCCATTTTCTCTTAAGATGATCCGGCCATGATGGAGTCTGATAAACGCCACGTCCTCTAGCCCAATTAGGGCAGCTCCCCTTTTTCTTCCCTCTTTTAAACTTGGGATCCCTTTTTTTTATCTCGAGCCAGGCCTGAGGGATGACACGTATCGCAAATTAATGTTTTATACAAGGGAATTTTTCAAAAATTACCTTTATCTTGTGGGCTGACTTGGATTCTAGACGTGCGTCAGTCGACTCGAGGCGATAAATAAATTACGACTCGACAAAACACAATCTAAATGGTTAGGGGTCTACGACTCCTTCAAATGAAAATATACAAAGTGGGTCGTTTCAGTACGGCTTTGGATAATACAGCGACTACTTCTTAGACGAGAGGGAAGGTAAGTTTTACTTTTTTTTTATTCTATAAACTGAAAGCGCCTGGTTTTTGCCTCGACAGGGGCCTCATTGCTCTCCACAATTGAGCTCGTCACGGTCTGCCGGTCTCAAAATGCCTAAACGGCTCGAAATAATCAAGGCCTGTCCGAGACCGGACGAAGAAAAACAGAACGAGTAAATTTTTCAAACAACACTGTTTGAGATGGACGGTCGGATCGCCTAGAGTAAAGATTAACATGCTAATCGGGGGCCAATTAGGGGTCTAAACTGAAAGATACGGGTTATCAAGATTTATCAACCATAACATTCCTGATTAAGCCTTACTGGGTTGAAAAAACTAAAATATCGGAAGAAAAAAATTGTGATAATATTTCAATTGTTAAGCGTACAAAAGCAGATTATTAAAACAGGGAAACCAATTCTATTGATCGAAACTTAACAACCTATTATATTACACTCATATACGTAATTGTTATATTACTGTAAGTCATATGATTCTTAGTGTTGAACAAAAACAAAGAAAAAAAGCTGGTCATAATCGGGGTTCCTGGTTTAAGTCCGATAATTGGACTTATTGCTTACAAGATAACTTTTTCTTTTATAACCGTTTTTACTGAAGCTATTTTAAATAGTTTTCTGATGAAAACTGTATTGGTTATAACAATCCTGCATTTTAAATTAAAATACTTTTCAACTATTGTTTTTAAAAGGCTATAAAGACAACAAAGTTTTGTTCCTTTGAGTCGAGTAGAGCTTGAAATCTTTTGTCGATTTTGTCCGAAATAACAGAGGACATTGGTTGGTGGAAAAGAAACAGAATTGTAGTAGATTGAAAGGAAGGTGATATGAGGAAGGGGGAAGGTTATTGTTTGGTGGTTTCGTTGAGTCCATCCTCCATTTGTTGAACCATTCTTTCAAACAGGAGAGATGGTCTTAAAGGTTTCTGAAAGCCACTTGTGGTTTTAGGTTTGTTGAAAAGAAGGCGGTTTATTCTGCATATAACAGGTATGCATAAAAAACAGTATCAGGTATCTTTTGATTTAAATAAAGGATCGTACGTTCCATTATCTTTACTGCTTATTATTTTGTGTTGTAGTTTGTCTAACTGACAATACGTTCCAACCTATGTCTGTAATGATTCAGTACTACATACAAACGGGTTTTATTGTACAAAATCTCAATAGAACAGTTTAAAAAATAGTAATTCCTCTTCACCAAATAATGATGATTGTGAAGTTGGGTAGTTGTCGATCATATATGTATGACTTTTCTCGCTGTTTTGCTGTGTCACTCTCGTTTCGGGGGGACCCACTCACTGATGTTGTCGAGAAGCCGAAAATATTGTATTGATCGGGTACGAAGAATCTAGTCGTACTACGTGAAGCCTTAACGACACAAGAGTACAATAGACAATAGGCTGACATCCAATGAAAATAGCGAGAAGCTAAAACGCGCCTGGTCAAACCAGTGAGAATAGACCAAAATGATCAGAAACAACCAAACTATGCCAATTTTTTTCAAAAAAGAGATCATTTGATCTAGATGTTCAAACCTAATAAACTTATAGAACCAAGTGAATAATTTTTGGCCCAATTGTCAATGTGAAAAAAAACTAGTATTCTGGTGATCTGATTACAAACAATGTTGTTATTACAAATTTGTTTCGACAGTGGTACTCGGGCAAATATATAATTCTAGTCTTTGGATTTGTTCTTATCTCATAGTTTTTATCTGTTTTATTTTCTTTTAAAATTTGAAACAGGGCAAGCTCCATAGTCTGTCGTTTGCAACTTTCTTCATGTACAGCATTTTATATCTGCCTAAATATTTCCACCTTAAGGTTGAACCAAAAAAAAGGAGCAATCTGAAAAGGAAATCGGGGAAGTTGCGGCTTTGCCTTGTAAGTTTTTTTTAATGAATCCGGCTCTGGGAACTGTCACGACTTCGGGTCCTCATTATTTAAACCGTTGATTATCCAGCTGTCAAGACATTTGCCCTATGGCCAGTAAAATGCGATCCGTGATAGGAGGGGACACAAACATCTGTGCATCCTTTTGTGCTAGGCTAGGGAAGTCAAGAAAAACCTCGGATTCCCCCCACCAAAGGGTGCTTAATTATTAAGCTCTGGAACGATAATTTTCCAGTCATGATGATATGACAAATAACACATTAAAATGCGCATCTATTAATCCACAGTCGTCTTTGGTGCAACCCTTATTAATTGTTGTTCTAAATATTTTCTTAATCATTGCATACGGTTATTACTTATTATATTGTTATTATTATATTACCTCTATTTGTTTATAAAGAATGTGAGATGATTTATATGTGAATCAATTAATTAAAGTTTGTACTAACAATCTTTCCAACACATCCTCTGACAAAACATGCCACATAGTCGATGGTTAATTTCAAATATACCCAAACTTCTTTCTTAATGTGGCGGAGAATGTTTTTAGTCCCCCTTTTCTCGCAGGCAGATTTTCAATAAGTAATTTTCCATACACTTA